CCACCATTGACCCAGCCCGTGATAGTGGGCCGGGCCCAAGACTCACGACTAGAGAAATAGGTCCGGCCCTCCATTGACCCGGCCTGGTCCAACTTGGATTTAATTATTACTTTTTTAGGGCAAAAAAGTAATAATAAAGCAAATTTGGCCCAATCTAGCCTGCTAGCAGCAGGTTCTGTCCCTTCTTTTTTGCTCTCTTTTTTGCTAAAAAGAGAGGCACTCGCTTTTTCGCTAAAAGCGAGCTAATGGTTTTCTCTCGTTGGCTCTCTTTTTATCAGAAAAAAGAGAGCTTACTACAAAGAGAGCTAGACTCTCTTTTTAGCAATCAGCAACAGGTTGATTGCTAAAAAGAGAAAGCATGGCTCTCTCTGGCTCTCTCTTTTTAGCAATCAGCAACAGGCTGATCGCTAAAAAGAGAAAGCCAACAGCTTTCTTTTTAAATTTTAAATTTTTAAAATGATCCCAGGGTCCAAGGAACATCTTCCCTTTGCTATAAACAGGACCCGCTTCACCCTCATATCTCACAACTTCTATCAATCCATCTCATTCTAATTACAAAAAATCTACACTCTCTGCCAAGTTTCCTTTAAAAAAATCTTCCATTATAAAACGGATCACTACTCACCTTCTTCACAATACTCTCCCTACTCATCCTCCTCACAGTACTCTTCCTCTTCCTCATCTGTTGCCAGTGTAAGTTGTTATACGCCTTTCTCACATTCTCAATATTATTCACATGAAGCTGGTGGTAGTAGTAGTGACCAAATTCATAATGCACCTTACGATTCTTACTACCCTTTTACCAATGTTTTAAATATCAACCGATAAACTGATATTATCGGTGATTTATCACTTTTGGGGTCCGTCTATGATGATAAGTTCGATTCTAAATCGGGTATCGTTTTCAAATGTTTATCGTCGATAATGTGGCGATAAAGTGAGTTATCGACAAATATTGTCGGCCTAAAAATCGAGATTATCGGCCTTTGATTTGAATTTTAATTTCAAACAACAATCGCCTATTCAATGCACTTTAAACCCGATCTGATCTGAATTTCTACTATTGGTTAGTGATCCTAAATGTAATTATTTATATTTTGGCATGTTTATATTTTATTAAATTTGGTTAGGTATATTTTAGAATATTATATTATGTATATCAACATCCGGTAACGTCACTCCGATAAATATTACTTATCCCCGATATCTATTATCTGATATGGATTTTGACCGTCCGATATATCACCGATAATTGATATTTAAAACCTTGCCTTCTGCTCCCACCTGCTAAATTGATGATCCCACTGGTATCGTTCCCTTTACGTATCCTGGAGTAACCACAAGTATTGCCCCTCTAAACTCTACTTCTAGACATTCTATTTCACTTTCTCCAATAGAATGACGACAGATTCTATGGTGGCAAGACATTCTATCTCTTTTTAGCCTCCACCTCGACCTCCTTGACGTCCGTCTCTGACTTTTCAATCTTCAGATACTGAAGTTCCAGAGGCACGAACTGAAGAAGAAATAACTGAAACAAAAACAAAACATGCTTCTAATAAATGGAGAAAATCAGAAGATTCTTCAAGGGTTTGGCCTTTTTTCGAAAAATTTCTAGATTCGGACGGTGACAGATCAACACGTTTAATGTCAATACAACTATAAATTTGGGAAGAATTGTGGAACATGATCACTATCTCGGCATCTAGAAAAAAAACCCTGAGACCTTCTAGATGGTGGAAAAGAGAATTTAACCACAAATTGTTGAAGGTACAAGTAGGTTATCGATATTCAAGTATAAACCTAAACTCACTAAGGAAAACTTAGCTAAGTTTATTGTGCAAGCTAAACTTCTTTTTAATATTACTGAAAATAATTTTTTTTAAATATATTAAAAGTTTTTTGTCCAGAATATCAAAAAAATAGCAGAAGAACAATTACGATAGAAATTGAACATCTCTTCTGTGCTAAAAAAAATATTATGCAAGCTACTTTATTTGTTGTAGCTACCAAGATAGTTTTGACTTCTAATGTTTGGGAGCCTCTCAATCACAATCATTATATTTGGTATTACTTCACATTATATTGATGAAATTACGTTTTACAAAAAAGTTACGTTTTACAAAAAAAAAATGTCACTCAAAAGGTTTGAATATCCGCACAATGTACAAGGCATTTGTGATGCAATTTCATAAACTTGTCGTGATTATGGGATAGAGAGGAAAAAATTTCTATATCTTTTGATAATGCTTCAGAGAACACATTGGTAATTTCAAAATTGAGAGAAATTCTTAATCCAATAACAAAGAGTAAATTTTTTCATATTAGATGTGTTTATCATATTATTAATCTTTGTGTGCATGATAGAATGAAATATCTTGATTGGTTGGCATTTACAGAAACTAAAATGATTTATCACTTTTATGAGGTAGTGGTTCAAAAAAAGTCCTTTACGGAGTGTTGCGATGTTTATGGCTGGAGAAGAAAAGTTCTTCGAATTAATGTTAAGACAACATGGAACACTACTTATTAAATGCTTAGTGATGACATCCCTTACCGAAAAGCCGTTGATGCATTTATTGAACGTGAACAGCTATCTGATCTTTCCATAACATCCAACGAGTAAAATCTTTATGAAGCTTTCTGTCATTTTCTTGAGAAGTTTGAGGCAGCAACAAGAACACTTTCTAGAGTTTGCTAATTTACTATTCATTTAGTGTTTTATCATCTTAATAATATTGCTAAATTATTTGCAGAATAGAGAACTCACGACTTTCTTGCGGTTGCATCAGGGATATGGAGTGTAGTCTAAAAAATATTTAAAAAATATGCCATTTATTTTTATTTAGCAACTACTATGGATCCCAGAATTAAACTTGATAATTTATCTGAAATGCTTAAGGATGTTTCTAACAATATAGGTTATGGGCATGATAGAGCAAATATTGTAAAAGAGATTAAGAAAACTCTAGATAAAGTATACTCTTTGTATAGAGATGTTACATGTTCATCACAGGTTTCAGAAGAAGGACGCATGTCAAGCTCATCCAATAGTAGTTCTATTTCGATGCTAAAATGGATGAAGAAAATAGTGAGCAAATAAACAAAAGCAAATCTCAAATGCAGGTTTGACTGAAGTCTGAATGTATCTGGAAAGCGCACCCTCAGATGGAGAAAATCCATGAGTCTTTTAATGTACTTGAATATTGGAAGAAAGAAGCCCACAACGACCATGTTCTATCTACTACGAGTAGAGAAATATTAGCTATTGCTTCCATGGTCGCATCAAAAAGTGCATTTTCAACAGACGGGAGAGTCATTTCCGAATGGAGAATACAACTTACAGTAGCACACATGGAGATGTGTGCTTAAAGGACTGACTCGATGCAGAAGAACGGTCACAAGGACAACAAACAAAACATTTCCTTAAAATTTTTGACGAAAATAACTTGAAGGAATTTAGCTCCTTGAGAATTAATGGTTAACATTTTTCCTCTTGTGTTTGTAATTTAAATTTAAACTAAAGTTATTAACATCCCGTAGACGAAGGTCTTTCTTAGAAGTCTGAACCACGTATATCTTTTTGTTTTGCGATGTTTATCTTTGTACAATGTATCAGGCTTATTGAGGGGCGCACCTGGCG